GCTTTAAGCAGCTGCGCGCGCTCCCGCGGACGGCAATCAGTTTCTGGCAGACACACCGGCATGAAGACGACTTCTTCTACTTTTGTCAGGTTCGTATAAGTTGCTACTGCCCCCTGCAGGAACACCTGAGCTGGGCAGAAAATCTTCCGTGTCATTGAATAAAAACTGATGACGGTGTCAAAGATGGTGGTAGGGAGATTATTTCAAGGGGAAGCCTTTAAAAACCCTATTTTGGTACAGACTTTTAGGCTATATTTCATTCTCCCAACAAATCACATATCCACGTTTATATACAATTTCTTTATTAAATTTTGCAAGTTTACGCACCTTAACAATATTCTTAGTATTAAACAACTTCTCCATCTTATAAACATTTGGTCTCAACCTAAAATACACAGGCAGACATGTTTGTTTTTGCAACTTAAAATGACTAAATTCAAACAAGTAATGAGAGTCATCTCCAAGTTTCCCTAATCTACAAAGTCCACATAAACATTTGGTACATATAACTCCATAAAATCTACCCATAATGACTGGGATACCACTAACACCGCATCTAAACCTTTTCCAGATAACACAAAATAGAAACTACACAAATTTTATTCCAGTTTGATCTCTTGTTGAAATATTCTGTAATTTATTGGAAAAAATTGGAATTCCAAAATTATTAAACATTTTGGAATTCCAATTTTGTCTCAGAATATGATATACTCATCTCAGTAAGTGGTCTTATAGCTATCATTCACCACTCTGGTATGTTCTCATAAATAATAAAATCCTGTATATTGAAATGCTTGCTTTAAGATTCAATTAATGAAATGTCTTCATGGTCCCACGCCTCTGGTAAGAGCAACTGGTTAAATAACTGTAACTGAGTTTCAACAGATAATCCCAGATCTCTAGCTTTAGTTAACAAACTATAGAGCTTTCCAAATCTGCCCCAGTTGACTTAATAGCCCTTTCAAGTGGTTATTGTAATTAAATGTGACACCAAGATAAGCATAACGATCCACTGCTTGTAATACAGAAATTCCAAATTTGAAGTCATGGAATTTTCTTACTTTACCTCTTGCAAAAACTTTACTTTTATTCGAATTTACACTTAGTTTCCAGTCAACACAATATCTTTCTACTGCATTTAAAGTCTTCTTCTTCTTATGATGAAGCCTTTATTTGCCACTTGCAGTTGCCTGCAGTGAAATTACACAAACATCACATTGGGGAGACGAGTCAGAACAGGTATACAGGCTTCTATAGCTTTGTCTCTGAGTCTGACAATACTACAGTGTCATCTGCATACGTAAGAACAATAAGTCTTACACAGACCTCAGCATCATCATCACTCATTTCGCAGTCATTATAATACCTATTCATTGTATACTCAAAATCATTTAAAAAGATTGCAAAGAGGTGATACATTTTCACCCCGTTGAACTATATTACAATCAACAAACTTTTTTAGAATTTATTTTTTAAGATTTGACTGGTGATCTGAAACGGTATTGGATGATGAGACTTAGAAGGACTTTGATGATTCTAAAGGCAGAAAATCTTAAATAAAAAGTTAAAGTATATTATACTTTACAAATTAGCAGCAGGTGAAGATGCATTACTGCTGCTCTAGAGCTCTTCATGGACAAGCCCCAGCCTACCTCAGTGAACCTTTAAATCCATACATCCTCAGCAGATCCCTGAGGCCCCAAACTCTCCTCTGTGCCTGAGATCTGTGGACTCTGTGAGCGTGCTTAAAAAACAGCTAAAAAGTCATATTTTAAAGCTGTTCTAGCATTTTTGAGGTGAAGGACCTCGTAATATTTGCCTTAAAATGCATCATGTCAGGAGATGTGCTTAGTTCCTAAAAATTACATTCACAAAAAGCCGATCCACTAGAAAATACAGTTTATTCATAGTTAATTAAAATCAGTCCAAACGCAACAATTCGAGTTTGCAAAAGGAAAGTTCAGTCAGTTATCGTCAGTCCTCAAATGACAAATTTGCACAGTCAGTATTAACAACCATTATTCATGTCAACACATCATTATTCTACACACTGTGTGTGTTGCCTGTACTGGTTGAAAGTACCAGTGAGGCCCATTAAACATCCTCAAGTTAGCAGCAAGCCTTCATATTCACTCTGATTTTCATTGTTTAAAAATAATGTAACACATCAAAAGTGAAGTACATTTTTATATTATAGTAAATTTGAGCTTTTTAGTGGCAAAGAGCAATTTTTTAAAATTTTGACTTTGGAAACTCAGAAGGAGTAATGAGTGAGTAGTGCGAGATAAGTCTATCAGCTTCTCTCCACCCGGTGAGAACAGCTCCATGGACGGTTGAGAAGTAGCAGTGATGAGTTGCCTCTCCAGCGAACAACACCTGCAGGGGCTGAAAGAGGCAAATTAGAAAGAAGTGTTAGACCTTTAATGATGTTTCTGGTGGTTTGAGTGTGAACATAATATGTAGCTACTTGTGATTTTGATCCTTTTGGTGGAAGGGGCTCCATCAAGTTGTCCAGGTCCTGCTCTGAACAGCCTTTTCCAAGATTACTGTAGGATCCACACGTCCACGGATCGTGAAACCACTGGGAGCGCAGGATTCTCCTTGGAGTGATGATGGGGTTCCCTAAACATGCAAAAAAACCAAACAAACATATCTTTCTAAAATGACTTTTGTAAGTCCTTGTGAAACTAATGACACTGGAATATCTGGCATTTCTCACTACTTATGATCTGTCTGGACTCACCTGTAAACCTGCGAATAAGCTGTGTGATGGCATCTGTGACCTGCTGTTCAGACAGTGTTTCCATGTACTCTGACTCATGTCCAGAAATCCAGCCACAGAGAAGGTGACCGTGCCTGAAGATTAAACCACACACAGAACTGCACTGTTAATGTACGAATTGGCATGTTTTTACCACTCAGTGCAAATCTAAAATGCTGGGCAAGCATTAGCATTTTGTGAGCAGTTGACCTTTCAGTGGGTTTGAGTACAGTGAAGCCAAACAACTTCTTTATCCAGGATGTTTGCACATCTGGCACCTGGTCCACCACAGCATCCTGAAGTATGAAAAGGGATTAAACAGACATTCAAGCGTTAGCAAAGAATCTAACAACCAGCATAAACCTACAAACATTTTGAAACAGAGATATGAGCTGATGTACTCCTGTTTAAGATCCAACACAGCATGCACAGTCTCTTTATTTAGGTGGCTGAGTATGCCTTTATGAAATCTCACCTCATCATCCCACACGAAGAAGATGACCTCACAGTCAGCATCCCACCATGGTGAATCAAACTCCACAAATATTTTATTGTTTGTCCCAAAACCCAGCCTCTGGACGGAGAGCAGCTTGTGCAGAGGGAGAGGAGGATGGAACAAGGTTGAGTGGTGCTTCTTCAAGTATCCTGACAAAAAGACAACAACTTTAAATTCACTGAGCCTCAATGTGGAAGTACTTGTTTTTGTGACCCTATGTGAATAAGGGAGCATGTATTAAGTAATAAAACCTTCATACACTTGAGGTATAAATCAGCATTTTATGCGTGTGAAACTTACCAAGTGGCACGGTGACTATAACGTGATCAGCAACGAGCTTTTGGCCATCACACTCAATCATCACGGGCTCTGCGCTCTTTGCGCTGTTCCAGTTGGCACAGCGCACAGGCTTATTGTAGGTCACTAAACCAGCAGGGAGCTCTTCTATCAAGTTCTGGGTTAGACCTTCATAGCCACTGTACAAACAAAGGACATAACTACTAAGTCATATGTGCTGCAACAATTTACTGAATTAAATTAAAAATTGCATTACAGGCTGACTAATCTACTAAGACAATAATTAAGACTGAGTATTTGCTTGTTTGCCCTAACAAAATAAATGCTTGTTTTTGCACAGTGTAAATGCAGAGTCAGGAGTACGAACCCTGGGAATGTACAGTCCAGTCCAGGTAGAGTCTTGTATAGGCCAAAGGCCCCCATGCTGACCTCATCCATGCTGTGAGTCCCATTGACACAGCACTCGACTTTCAACATGTTACTGATCACACATAGTCGCAGAGATCTGGTGGCTTCATCAACATCTTTCCATTTCTCTGCTGCGTGCTGTTGCACCTACACCAGATAACAAGCAAAGAAAAACACCCACAATTCATGTGAGAATCTAGATGCCACTAATGATTTGCTGTGGATAAAAACACAGCCAGAAATTTACCTGTGCCCGTAAGAAATCACCCACACTGGGCCAGGGTTCTCCTCTTTGACTCTGAAAATCGGAACTTTCATTTATCAGCTCCAAAAACAATTTCTGAGCAGGTAAGATGTCCTCAGCGTTCAGCTCCCGACCTGCAGATGTTACACAAGAACACTGGTCAGGAAAATCTAGACTTCTCTACATTTTTTTAACCTCTCCTCTAGTTCAGAGCTCTTCTTGAAGGCTGGTTTCACACTTTATCTTCCCATTCAATAAAGATGACCAAGACAGATTTAGTATGCTCTGAATCTTTTAAATCAATTTAAAATCCATTTGTTCCATGAAGTCATCCTCATAAAATGAAGGGAATTCTCTACTCCTCATGGACTTTTTCACTCTTTAACTATATCACCTCTTGATGGCAGAGCTCAGTGGCTGTTGGCCACACCATTCACACTGTTAAGACACCAGCATGCAAACAATGATGATTTACAGCCTCTGCCTTTTCCTTGTCTATTTGCATAAATACTTTGCATTTGGTTGACGTACCTTCCCTGCCCCAGTAATTAGGTTATGTGTAAGACTAATCAAAATATTACTAATCTAAAAAAACAATCAAACCAACAAATACACTTTATAAAAACATCCTTGAACCTGAACTGCTGAAGAATCTGGGAACCCAAGGAAGATGGCCTCTGACATCCAAGGCCTGGTTCTCCGGCTTGAGGGCTTCTGGATCCAAAAGCCCATACTGACGGGCCAGACAAAACACCGGGTTCTCCTCACACGGCCCATGGATCCAGTTTGCTCCTATCTCAACAATTTTATCACCTACAGGTAAAAAGATTTTGTCCAGAAGCAGAGAAGGAAACAACTTTTAATAATCGGATTATATACTGTATACTCTTGCCATGCTGTTGTTGTATTAGAGCTGCCTGGCAAGGGTATAGGGTATAGGCAAGGGTTGGCTGGACAACCAATCAGCCTACTGTTTTATTAACCACATGATCAAATATACTGTTACATAGGAACAGGTTTTAATTGTATTTCTATTTTTAAAATGTGTCTAGTTTCTTCTACACTATGTTGTATATTGTTGAATGAATTTTGTCCTAAGAGACAACAATAGTGAGGTTAGTTAACACAGTAGTATCATTTACAGACCTTGGTGTCATAATCCCGAGTCCCAGTGTTCTTAGTTAAGTGTTTTGTTCTTTTAATTATCTTGTCCTTGAAGTCCTGCCTCCTTTTGTTAAATCTCTGTCTCTGTTTGGTGCTCTATTATTTGCTGGTATTGTGCCAAAAAGTGATTGTCAGCCAAAGAGCGGTTTCCAATGTTTCTGTGTGTGTGTTTTTTTCTTTTAAATTTTTACGAGTAATATCTTTACATGTCTTCGTAAACAGACTGGAGTAAACTGGATTTCTGAAGGGGTTATGTCTATATCTATCTATCTATGTCAGGGCTCTGTGTGCGGGCAGGCGGAGAGGAGGATCCAAGCGCAGGACTCGAACACAGAATTGTAAATCAAAACCTCAGCTTTATTGCTGACATGAAAACCAAACGTGACGTGCCGTGAATACAGAAACCAAAAAGCACACAGGCATAATCTGAGGGTACGACGCGACACCGAGCATGGGAAAACACAGGGCTTATATACACAGGGTAGTAATGAGGGAATGGGCAACAGGAGGGAGACACAGCTGGTAGCGATACAGGGGGAACAAAGCTGCACACACTAACCTAAGACAAAGACTTTCACAATAAAACAGGAAACATGAAACACTACTAAAAGACACGGACAGAAAATAATACATGAAACCACAATTCCTAAAACATGGATAAACAGAAACATGAAACTCTAATAATAAACATCATCATCATCATCATCATCACAACAAGAGAATGAGAAAACAATCCTGACAGGGGATTTTTTTAAATCACCCTGTAATTCTTCAGCTAAGACACCCGAGTTAGAAAACACAGAGACTGCAGTCGTTTTTACACGCGTGGGCAGCAGCAAACACACCCTGCAACTGCACACTGCTGCCTGCGTTCCTTTATTTTATACATGTCTGTGTATGTGTGTGTGTGTGTGTGTGTGTGTACAAAAATAACAACGTCACTCAGAATCAGCACACACTTAAGATTATAGTTTCACTTCTATAAAAAACATGCTCTGCAGTTTCCTGTCTACACTTTGTACAGAGTGTACTAAAAGCAACGGGTTATTTCCCTTTTCTACATCTGTTCTCAAAAAGAGGAAATGGTTCAGTAGCTGAATAAGTTCATCAAAAGTTATTAGGTGAAAAGTCACATAGACATTTAGATTGCTTAAACAACAGAAAAACACATTTCATGAAGCTGATCAAATTATATAAAAACAAAAATCTCTTGACAAATCCAAAAAACCAAGATAACTGAAACACAAAGTACCAGAGAAACATAAAGAATAATCCATGATGCAAAAGTAAACCAAAACATAATAAACTCAATTGCTGGGTCCAACAGACCCAGAACCGTGACAATCTATCTATCTATCTATCTATCTATCTATCTATCTATCTATCTATAGAGAGATATATAGATATATACATATCTCAAAGAAATGGCCTGTTTTTCAAGTATCTTCATGATTCTACCTTTACCTATTTTACTTTACTTTACCTACCTACCTCTACCTATTGTATCTACATATATAAAATATCTAGTTCTTTTCAGGCCCTGAAAATATGTATTCAAAGTGATGGAAACATAACAGTGATGTTAATTTCACCAAAAACCAAACCAACAAGTCATTTCTAAAAATAATTCCTGCAATCACTTTTTGGTAAATACCTGACAAAGATCGGGGGGAAATTGATAGGGCATAGTATCGATAAACTAAAATACTCTGGGGATGCTATGAATAATCTCACCTTATAGAAGGCAACCTTTCTGCAAACAGTTATAGTCTGACTTGGATCGAGTCCAATCACTCTAGGAGACATTGTTGAAGGTTTCATATAATAGCTGTCTAATTTATAAATGTAGACAAACTCCTGCCATGTTTCAATCGGTTTGAATGAGACTTTGTCAGTTAGCACAAATCGAGGGGACTCAACCGGCTGCCAGTTGGTTGTAATCTAGTTATATTCCTATAGAACAGAAAGGTTACTGAACTCAAATGTAACAGTTAAATATTAATTTCTGTTAAATGTGGCTTTCAGTAATTTATCACTCTTAGTTACTGTATTATCAAAAACATATTGAATGTCATTACCAACTTGATCCAGTCAGTTGCAGAATGGTAGCAGCATATTGCTCCAAATTATTTGCATCTTGTATTTTGAACAGTTTACAGCAGTAAGGCTTCTTTCTTTACTTCGCTTTCCTCTCTTACGAATCCTTCATATGGGTCCACAAAACCTTTGCTACACACCACTTTATGACGCTTGGAGGAGCTATACATTACGGTTATGCAATGTGTAAGTTTCTGCCAGAGTTCAACTCATTATACAGCTGTGCTATAAGGTGTTATAACGTAGTATCCAAAGTCCTTCTATCATATCCCTGGCATGCATCTGTATGCTGCGCTTTTACTTTAGGTCATCCAATCCCATCCAACATGAAAGTGCAGTGTGAGGAAATAAAAAAAACAAACTTTACACTGTTGCTTGCCATCATGACAAGAAAATGAATTGTGTGTTTGTAATTTGCGGACACCAGAATTTAAAAAACTGCAGATTGACTGAAAAAGCCCTAAGTGCATGTTACTCACCGATCCTTCCTGTTTTTATTCGTCCTCCGCTTCTTCCTGTCGCCTCCAGTATCCGCACATGATGAAAACCAGCTTTCACCAGTTTCTGTGCTGCTGCTAATCCAGCTATCCCACATCCTATGATCACTACTTTCGCGTCTCTGTGTCCACCCATGTCTGGCAACAACGGTGAACCGCAGCTGTGTCCTTCAGTGGAGCGAAAAAAAACCCCAGCTGCGAACAAAAATTCTTCCGGTCAAGATTTTCAGAATAAAGTCCATTTTCCGATTTTCCCTAGAATGCTTGACTACATGGAAAGTTATTCTCGCCATTATAAATAAAATACATTGAAAATATGTTTACATTATAATATATTATCAATGAGCCAAAATTTCAGGTTTCAATTATTATTATTTTATTATTATTACAAAATTGTAACTTAATAACTTAAAATTTAAAGTTATTTTCTTTGTAAGGAGTGGTCACTCCTCCAAAAAAAGCTTTGTTGAGACAGAGAGGTAGAGACAGATGAGCCGACAGAAGAAAAGTTTGCATGCCTCCCTAAAGCTGATCACATGACATCACCTTATATATTCATAGAGAGCTACTTTGTCTTTAGTGGCTTTCTTAAATAAAATACACTTCATTACACATTGAATATTTTATTTGGTGACTTTGAGGAAATGTATTTGTATTTCCAAAACACAAAGACTTCACTTGTCAGTTAATAATTAAAGTTGTATCCTTACTGCAGTTTTTCAGTATTAAACTTCAGAGTATTAGAGAGCAGACAATGTATTTTCAAACAGACGACTGACATCAAGGTTCTTACAGTTAGCTGGTATTTTGATCTATATAACATACTAACATTTTCATTTCAGATGACAGAAAGCCTGAAACGCCTGGGTGCCCTAGAATGCACCTGGATCCTGGTAACCCTGGTTTATGATTAACCTTGGTGCTTCTAGTACAGAAAAGAAAAACACCTTCGCGGAGGTGCAAGTGAGAAAGTTCCTGCTCTTTATGCACAGACCAATAAAGACAAGAGTATTTGGTGACCTCATAAGGTGAACACAGGGGGAGAAAAAAGTAGACATTAATTTACTTGCATAAATAAACACAGTAAATACACTACAATGTGTCCATGTTTGATTTTATTTATTAATTAAAAACACAATCACAAACCTGGATAGAGCCCTTTTGTCCACTTGTGACAAGTAAAGCAAAGTGCATCTCCTGTCATTTACTTAAGTTTTATTATAGGGAATCTAATAAATTATATTTGCATAAACTGAAACAAAATCATTACATAATTCGAAATATTAGGAGGACCGCGGTCCTTTAGAAAATGCAAATATATCATTATTTTGTGTTTAATGTAATGTTTGAATGATTTGGTGTTCTCCCTATTGAGGAAATGAACTATTCTGCATCTGAATCACACATTATATTTGTGGTCTTTTTATTCTATAGAAAGACAAAAAACACACAAGCAACTACATAGCATGTGTCCTGATTGTGGTTTAAAACAGATGATTTGGACTTTGATTTGTGCTTATTAATCATTGCAAAATAGTTGCAATGTCCAGGGAATGCATTTATGTATGGATATTTCCTCTATGGAAAATAAAGCTATTATTTGGTGTACTTTTTATCTAGCTTACTTCATCCATACCTGCAAGTTTTCCCATTTTTAATCAATTCCTTCCTCAGTCACACTCACTAAGGGTTGTATCACTAACCCCACGCCACACTGACCCACTTTTCAATAACTTCCTGCTACTTTGCCTGCCATTTGTATTTGTTCTATTGTACCTGCTTTGCTTAGCAAATTTTATCCAAGCACCTGCCCAACTACTGCTTGCCTGTAGCGATTAAGTCACGTGTGATCTACCTGTCGTTTTTATGGTATGCCATGGTTGACCATGCATAACTGTGTCTTATTTGTTCATAATACACTAAAATTGTTCAGTGCTCTTATTCTTTGATATTTTTTATTAAAATTGTTGGCATTGATTCAGTTTATGCATATTCTTATTTTTAAAATCACAACAAAAACATAATTTTACTTGCATTAATATTACCAACAACTCCACCATTAAAAGTTCCCTTGGCAACATGTTAGCAATGACTAATGTATAATGTAATGCGTCAACCTTTAAACCTAGATAAGGAGTGGAACTCCAGATTACAACATAACTATGCCACAAGCCCTCTTTTTTCCCATATTCAGCACTGTGGTTTTTAGTGCCAAAAGACAACCACTATGATTACTCAGTGTCACCAGATAAGATTTGTCTTTTATCTTATCTGACTAAAGAGCAGTCAGAAAAGATAAAAGACTTATCTGATTGTTTTTTAGTTAAAAAAAAAAGAAGCTAAAAGAAAAGTCTTTATCTTTAAATTTCTTATATTACAGGGAATTCATGGGCTAACAGAAGCCCAGTAGTGAGTGATGAGTCTATCCGCTTCTCTCCACCCAGTGATAATTGCTCCATGGACGGTGGAGTAAAAGCAAGGATGGGTCGCCTCTCCAGCAAACAACACCTGCAGGGGCTGAAACACACAAGCAGTAAAAGGGAGAAACATTTTTCAAGGTTATATTATGTCACTTTCTGTCTAACTATTAAGTAACAGAAGTCAGTACTTCCCTGGGCAATATGACTCATTTGATTTACTAATAGTTCATCTGCTGCACACCATGCCAAGATATGTCACGTTTTCTACTAGCAATTCTTATCAAACTGTGTTGTGATTTGGCGCTATATAAATAAAATTGAATTGAATTGAACTGTGTTATCACTGGCATTTTTTATAGATTGAATAAACAAATGTGAACAAATGATGCATTTTTTCCAACAGGCTGCTAGTAACAAAGCGCTAAAGGATACTTTTTAAAATGGATTTTAACGGATAAAACACTCCTCTGAAATTGGTCAGGTACAAGGACTGGACTGAACATTTTTAAAGACATTCAAAAAAGCCTGGAGAACTCTTACTCAAGACCACTTTAGAAAAATGACATGAAAGTCTGGCTCCTTGGAAGAAAAATATTAGCGGTGGCTCAAGACGTTTTGTACCTGTGACAGAGTTTCCTGTGAAGGCAGAGGTTCCATCATGTTCTTCAGGTCCTTGGCTGTACAGCCTATGGCTGGGTGACAGTAGGAACCGTATGTCCAGGGATCAGTGAACCACCGGGAACACAGGATTCTCTTTGGTGTGATGGTATCGTTTCCTACACACAAATATGAAATAACCAAGGCTCAACAACTTCAGAAAATATATATTAAAAAAACAGATATAAATAATTACTTTTACTACATATTAAAGCCTTCCCTCTATGTATGACAGCTTTTTAGGACTTGAATACTGTATATCAGTAACTATTTGCTAGCTCATTTCAGCAGGCAGTGCCTTATACAGCCTGCCCCTCCAATATGCCCCCTGTGACAGCCAGTGGGGTGGCCTTGTGTTCTTGTTTTCTTGTTGCCTGTTTCTTGCAGGTAGGTAGAGCTGACCCAGTTATAGATGCAGCACACCTGAGCAGGCCAGTCCCAGTGTATAAAGACACCTTGACTGAACCATGGCTGTCTCTCTTTGTCTGTCACTCATTATGTTCATTTTGTTCTTCAGTTATGGCTGTTGTATTATTTAACTTGTGTTTAAGTTTCTTTACCTTATTTCATTAAAAATATCTTACAGCCTTTAAAAGCCTGTGTGTGGTCTCCCACTTGCTTGTCACGTCCTTTGAGCTGGGTTGTGACACCCCATTCTGGTTTATTAAAAAGCAGCAGCTGGATCGATTATGGATCAATTATCTGAGAAGAATATTTCTTGCTACTCAAGCTACTTTTAGATGCTCCCCTTTCCAAAACATGTTACCACATTAGGCAGCTCTGTATATTTGAGTTGACAGATTATTATGGGTGCCCTTCCTGACGTAGTGTCCAGGCGATTTGTGTGTTTTCTCGGGCACAAACCAGGTAGCTTCTACCTTAATGGTGCCCATTCAATACCTATTCAATACTCGGTCTAACATGTACATTTCTGCACTAGAAGGTTTCAGTCGAGGAAAATAGCTGCATAGTTTTCTACAATCAATTGTCATCTGCACAGTGGCCTGTTTTGGGCATGTCAACATCAGAGGATAAACTCTGCAATCTGACCTGGTTTCATAAATCTATA